GAAGAGCAAGATGCGCTCGCCCGCGCGCGCCGCCTGCTGCAGCAGCGCCAGCGCCACCGCGACCTTCGACGACACCTCCGGGCCAAAGGCAGCCGCAGGGTTGCCGCGCCGCGAGGCGGGCCACGCCCGCTCGAGCCACGTCACCCCCACCCCCGCGCCGCCGGCCGGCGCGGCCGGCGGGAAGTGCTGGGACGGCGCGCCCCCGGCGGCGGCCCCGGCGGCGGCGGCGGCGGCGGCGGCGTCGATGCTGGCGGCGGCGGCGGCCTTCGCGACGAGCTTGGCGTTCGGGGCGAGCGTCTTTGGGTCGAGGAGGGCCGCGGGGTGGTTGTAGATGCGGAGCATGTCGGTCATGAACTCGAAGAGCTGCTGCCGCCCGGCCATCGACTCGACCTTGGCGTTGTAGAGCGCGCGCTGCGTCGGCGTCGGCCGCAGGACCATCACGTACTGCTGCGAGCGCGGCAGGTCGCGCTGCAGCACCTCGACGCCCCGCCGCTGCACCAGCTTGTCGAGCTTGCGCGTGAGGGCCCAGATACGCTTGGACATGTCCTTGCGCCGCTTCTTTGCCTAGGGAGTGTCCGGCAGGTGTGCCGGAAGTGTGCCGGAAGTGGCTCGGACACACCTCGCGCCGCGTCTTTGCCCTTTGCGAGCGCGACTCGTCGTCGTCCTCGCCGTACCGGAACTGGCCGTCGGTGATGGTGCTCTCGTACAGCCTCTTGAAGGTGTCGAGGTCGCCGAGCTCGCCTGGCGACGCGTAGTCCACCATGTGAGAAGAGAAGAGAAGAGAAGAGAAGAGGAGAGGAGGGAACCTGGCGACGCGTAGTCCACCATGTGGAAGTACTCGCGCAAGTTGTTTTGGAGCGGCGTCCCCGTCAGCAACACGCGCCGCATCGTGCGCACGCCGGCGAGGACCGCGCGCAGCTGGTTCTTCTCATTCTTGATCACGTGCGCCTCGTCGATCACGAGGACGTCCGGACCGGGGTCCTGCAGCAGCCGCCGGTACTCCGCCAGCTCTCGCTCCCTCTCCTGCCCCGCTGCGTCCGCTGCGGCGCGCGCGGCCTGCGCCGCCGCCACCGCCGCGTTGAAGGCCGCCACGGCCTCACCGTTCGTGCCGCCATACGCTTCGGAGGCGCTGCCGGCGGCAGCGGCCGTCTGGGCGGCCGCCCGCGCCTGCCGCTCCGCGCCGTCGTTCTTTGCGGAAGAGAGGACGGAGCGGTACGTGTCGTGCACCATCACCATCACGCCGCCCTCCCTCCGCCAGCGGCGCAGCGCCTGCAGCCGCTGCTGCTCGAGCCCGCCGCCGCGCCCGTCTCCCGAGTGAGACCGCTTGAGCGCGCCCGGC